AAGGACTTGTTGACCACACATCTCACAAAATTGTGAATTTCACTGAAATGAATCTGGAGATCAAATTAGAAAGAAAAAAAGGAATTAAATGTTGAGTCTATTCTTATGTAAACTTCTTGCACATATTTAACTTATTTATAGACACTGTATATTTTTGTTTTTATTATTGGTATCACTTTTTAAAAATGTATTTTTCATTCTCTGTTGGCAGTGAGTAAAGTTGTAAAGGACCATAATGTCCTTTATAAACAGAAATCTTTAATTTTGATGTAACTACATGTATCACTTTTTGCCTTGTCATTTGTTCTATAAAATTTTACACAAGAAGTTTCTTTTCTGCCTGTTGGACACAATAAAGTTTTCCTTAATTTTCCCTTAATAACTTTACAGTTTAACCTTCAAAATTAAATATTCAGTCCACCTAAGTTCCATCCTTATGTGTCATGTTCGATGAAGTTTCTTTTTCTCTATATAGGGAGCTAGGTTTCCTGATGCAAAACTCTCCATCTTTCCCCAATGATTTATGGTAACATCTTATTGTATATAAAATGGCCATATATAAATTCTCTTTCTAGCTCTCTATTTTTTCAGTTGGTTTAGCAGTGTGTTCTTATACATGCCAGATTTTAAATCCTGTAACATGCTATAGCATATTATACCATGTCTTATTTTACCTTCTTTTAAAAAATTTGCTGGGCTTGTTGTGCATTCTTATACTTTTCTGAATAGTTTAGAGCAATTGTCAGGTTTCTCAAAAAGAAAATAAGAATTCTGGGATTGGGATTGGGATTGGATAGACTTTACATGCATTTAAATAGGAGAGGACAGAATTGAAGATGCCTAAAAGAAAAAAATCAATTATTATCTAAAATATGCAAATAGCTCCATCAAATTAACAGCAAAGGTACCAAAACTATGAGAGACAGTGAATAAAGTGTGGATACAGGCACTTTACAGAATAAGAAAGCAAAAGAGTCAAGAAGCATATGAAGAAGTGCTCAAAATCATTGGCATTTAAAATACTGATTAAAGCAACCCTGGGATATCCTTTTATACCTCAATTACTGTCAAATTAGAATACTTTATAAGTCCAAGTGTTGGTGGGGTTGTGTGAAGTTGTAAAATCCCCTTGGTGGTGGGAATATCTTTGAAACTCTCCTAGAAATCTAAATACAATATTTTGTGCTTGACACAAAATAAATGCTCAACATATTGTCTTAAATAACTGCCTTAGATAATCCAGTTCAAGAGAAATTACTTCATACAAGACTGTGTCTTCTTGAACAATAACACAGCTATTATCTTGCCATGCTCCGTAAGGGCAATAAGACATGAAAATATCTTAGATTTCCTGAAACACATATTAAGATGAATTATTGATGCATACCTCACACAGATAAAAGGTTATACATACATTAATTTTTTTTATAGACACAAACAATTGAAAGCAAGTGCGCAAAGCATAAATAGTACATATGAGATCTACTGCAATTTTTTTCTATAACCACTGAGAGGAACAACATGAAGAAAACAATACAGATTTAAATCTCTTAATTATGGTATATATATTTTTTTCTTTTCTTGTCTCTGATTTTCCCTTTGTTAATTAATAATTGTCTTTACACATTTCAATATCCTTTAAATTTTCTACTTAATCAAAACTAATTTTACACTGCACAGTACATTATTTCTGTAAATGCAGCAACAAAATCCTAAATTCACTTATTTAAAAAAAAATCTTTCTTTAACATGACAGACATTCACGTCATTATGTAATGTGTAAGAGGCAGCAAGGAAATGGATGTGGAATCAAAGCAGAGGTCAGAGTGATCTTAACTACAGGGGTAAAAAAATGGACATAACAAGAGGACAACTCAAACAGAATCAAAAGTAACTATGTCTAATGAACTCATCTACAAAACAGATACAGGCTCACAGACACAGTAAACAATCTTATGGTTACTGGAGAGAGGAGGGTAGGAAGGGATAAATTTGGGAGTTTGAGATTTGCAAACATTAACTATTATATATAAGAATAGATTAAAAATTTCTGTGGAGCACAGGGAAGTATATTCAATATCTTGTAATAACCTTTAATGAAAAAGAATATGAAAATGAACATATATATATTTATATTTA